TTACCTATCTGATGCTAAGGATATGTACCTTTTTCAAGGACAATAAAACCTGGTTTAATTCCCCTAACTGGAGAGACTCGCTTTAGTTTAGTCATCGATTTGTCTCCTGTTATTGAATTTTCTGAGTTTCGCCATTTTAACCTAACCTAACCTATCTGATGCTAAGGATATGTACCTATCTGATACCTTGCTAAGACCAACAATCTACAAACATCACTCGATCCTTCATCAACTCCCGAGTACCCCACATATCGCCCACAGCGGATGCCGTCGCATTTTACACCGAAATCTATAGCGCGAGACAAAGCGCAAGGACAAACAGTGTAAACAATATGGATGTATTCGACAAAGATGAAATAAAATCAATTCTCCCCTTCCTTCACAAATCCATGATACAAAAATTCATAACACAATACTCAGACACCAAAGCAGGCGGCCCTGATGGGGTTGCCAAACTGCACCCACTGCAGTTCGGCTTCATCAAAAAATCACAAACGATGTTCCCAGCGCTGATCGCGCACGAACAACAACTCAGATCACTACCCACCCGACTGTTCTTTGATTTTAAACAGGCATATGACACTGTTCCAACTCACATCCTTCTTCAAAAACTTCAACATCGAGCAGCCCCACGAGTTTTCCTCGCCATTACAGAGGCGCTGTTACGCAACCAATCATCTAGGGTTATAATTAACTATAACACATCTGACCCTTTCAGTCGTCATAGGGGCCTGTTCCAAGGTTCCCTCATGGCACCATTATTATTTAATATTTTCATAGACGACTTGGCGAACCGATTCATCGACAGCAACCTCCTCCAATCCCCCAACGCACCCCCTTTCCCACCAATGATGATGTTTGCAGACGATATAACATCTCACCCAACCACGAACGCCGACGCTCAAGTCCATGCTCTCCTGATCGAGGACTGGGCTCACCAAAACGAGATGCAGCTGAATGTCGCCAAGTGTGGTATAGTCACAAACTCTGGAGCCACAGCAACGATGTACACCACCGCCATCCCTGTTGTGGCGACCTACCAATATTTAGGGTTCCCTTTTACAGCGGATGGTATCCACTTCCCAGCATACATCCAGCACATAGTATCCAAGTTCGACGCCGCCCTCGGCTACCTCAAAGCTACCAGCCATGGATGGCCGGAGATAACCAAGCTGACACTTTACAAAATATTTGTTCGCTCAAAGTTTGACTATGGGTTGGGACTCCTGTGGTCATGGTTCAGATCGAGTTATCAGTTAAAGAATCCGAAGTCCCGTATCCCCGCCCCCACAGTATCACTCGACCTGCTAGAAGGCGCCCAAAACGCCTTCGTAGATTGGATCCTCCCAAACAAATCAGGGCATAACCTTGCCCTACGACGGTCAATCCTTGGACTGACATCAATCCAGCACCGAGCGTCCAGCATCGCCTTCACCTCCTCTATTCGTATCCGCCAATTACCACCCACACACCCAATGTCAACACTGTGCCGAAAGTTTAACACATTCCCACTGCGAGATCCCAAGGTCGGCTCCACAATCGCCCGCTTTGTCTTACTCCATCCATTCCACGACCCCTACAACGCCCTTCTGATGCTAAGGATCCGATTTGTGTGGTTGAGTAACCTAACCTAACCTAACCCTAACCTAACCTAACCTAACCTAACCTAAGTGCTAAGCGCACATCAGAAGATGTTAGCTGGCTTCAAGATGAGAGCCTAATCCATGAGATTGATGTCTCCTCTGAAGAAGAAAGTCCTTTGCCAGATAAATACATGCTTATGCTGGAGAGACTCGAAGAACAATTATTGAATTTTCTGAGTTTCGCCATTTTAACCTAACCTAACCTATCTGATGCTAAGGATATGTACCTATCTGATACCTTGCTAAGGATATGTACCTTTTTCAAGGGAGGGAAATAAACTTAATTTTATTGCTAAGGATATGTACCTTTTTCAAGGACAATAAAACCTGGTTTAATTCCCCTAACCTAACCTAAGAGACTCGAAGAACAATGGAAAAAAAAACATTTGAAGGAAAAGAATGCCCTCTTGGACGAAATTGAGCTTCTTGAAGCAAGACTACTATTCCTATCTGATGCTAAGGATTTAGACCATACAACGCATCCTCGAACAAGATACCACACTGAAGTCGTGTTTACATATCTCACTCCGAAACCTAGAACTACGGACATCAGAATCCCGATTATGACATGGAAACTGCGGGTAGTTTAAGGTGGAAAGTATGAAGGGAAGCGAACTATATATCAAGTCGTTCATTGTCTATATTCCTATTACATTATGTACCCATTGCACAAACACTGTATTCCTACTATTCCTATCTGATGCTAAGGATATGTACCTATCTGATGCTAAGGATCCGATTTGTGTGGTTATATGTTCCTTGTACAAGGACAATAAAACCCCTTTAATATGCCTAACCTAACCTAGACGCAGAATATCGATTCTGCTGCCAATGTCGTCACAGGGATCTTGAAAGTGAGACGAAGTGGGCCGAGATTGAGATGATGACGACTGTGACGGGGCCTTCGCAGGTGCCGCCTGGTTATCCATAGTTTGCATAGCTGATTGAACGTCGTCTGAGATGAAGGCTTATTCAGTCCGTCTGGAATAAAAACTAACACACAAATATGAAAAGAAAGTCACCTGACGATGCCGTAACTTTTGCCAATAGTGGTGCAGTGGAAGTGTTCTGAAATTTTGGTAACTGAACAAGTTCCAACATACTAAGCGCTGGATCGAGAGGATTAGTATCTTCAGAAAGCTGAAGATATATCCTATTGCAGTCGACTTTTGCCAGACTGTTCTGAAGTTTATGTTTGATAGCATCGACTAAATCTGCAATATCGTCACAATTCTCTGTCGGGACCTTCACGGGCTGTCCGACAGCCAACTTTACCCACAGCGACTTAGGCAGCAGGGATCCGGAGGACGGGGAGGAAGAGCAAGAACAGTTGAAGACCTGCGAGTATGCAGATGGTGGGGTTTGTATTCCTGCCATTATCGGACTTGTTCGCAATTCGCAAGAATGTAGTGAGGATATTGAAGAAAGATTGCGACGGGCGATTAATTAAACGAGCCAATCAAAATAAGCCCATTTAATGATAATTTAAGGTCACGTGCCCGCCTTCATATGGCGGTTCAGTAAAGACGTCCCACACACCTTCAGTTACTGTGTTTTTGCGAAGTTCATTTGACACATTCTTCTTTTAACTGCGGTATGAGTTCAGTTAAAAAAATTGTGCGAATTGGCATTTCACCTGCCAAAGAAATTTCACATCTAGAATTAATCACAATTCACAAACTTAAGCTGTGAAGTTTACCTAACCTAATCTAAATTATTATCTTCGATTGACATTATTCTCTTTCGTGCTTTCTTAGAGCATAACGTTAATTAATTCATATCTTTGTAGTCTATACTTTTATGTATATCTGTATCGCTTATCATACTTGGTGCCACTGCGGTAGGACCCAAGGGTGTTGTTTGCTTGTCCTGGGACCTGGATGCATTGTATTTCACTGCTTTGAGTTTTCGCCCCCCAAAGCGACCATTTTTCCTATTCTGCATTGATGATCCACTTATATTAAAGATATTTAGTTTACATAGACTCGGCTTTATGTAGTCTGAGTCATAAATTTCAGGTTTGAAATCGTAACATTCCTAAGTGCTATGGGCCGTGTCCAAGCGAACACTGAACAGATACATACGTCGCTCACAGAAGAAAATATTCAAATTCAGTGCTACCGAGGCAAAATATTAATTAATTAGTAGGGATGGTAAAAGGGCCCGACCGGGGATTGAACCCGGGACCTCTCCCAAATCATGATTCAGAGGAGAATCAACCCTAAGGGAAAATCATACCACTAGACCATCGGGCCGATGCGACCGTCGTGTCTGAAGTTATTTGATTGTGCTGAGTAGGCACAAAGAGATTTAAAAACTTGATTCAACGGCAATGGTGCTTGTAATATATCAATGTCAACGGTTTCTTTGTGGACCTACATAGTACATTATACTCCTCAAGTTACTCCCGGTAACTTGCAGCTGACAATAAATATAAAGGGCGTCTCATGGACGTTCATTAATAAATTCCACTGAGTGATTGATTCTTAGAGACAACTTTTGTGACGAAAAGGAGAAATGGCTGAGAAATGGCTCTGTGAGGAACAATATAACTAATCAAGAGGCCCTACCCAGATTCGAACTGGGGTCTTGGGATCACTTTTATATCAAAGTCCCATGTGATGACCAACTACACTATAAGGCCGATGGCGCAGATTCAGTCAAAGTAGATAATGATGCAACTTATTCTGGCAAATTTTTGCCACCATCGGTCAAAAGGTCAGATGAAACGGTCATCGCAAATTGTATCAATACGTAGAATGATTTCATTAATTTATTCCATTACTTTTAATAGGCTCCAAGTCTAAAATAAGGTATTATTTCCTACTAATGTACCACGAATGTACTACTCCCACACGATGTTCGGTTTCATCTAACTAACAATAACCATGGCTTAATTAAATACTGTAAACCTCATGTCTGTTTCTGGATGATGATTGAAATAAATCGGTTAGGCTTAGTCTGATTGTCATTCGTCGATAGTTTCATTCCCAAGGTATCACGCTCCCAAATTTCGATTTAAACTAACAGTTCTCGCTAATCTTTCATGTTGATCAAAACCATCCCTTCCTTCCGTCTTTGCACTATCAGTATCATTATCCATACCAACGAAACAGCTTAACGGAAATACACCCGTCTCTCCAGTTGCCAAATTAACACCACTAGCCCACCCATCTTCATATATAAATTCAATTGCGACTTGATTTCCAGATTGAACATGGATTTCGTCAGGAAGACACGGTACATAAGTATTGAGTGCTGTTCTTGTTGTTTCGGATATCGTCGAGGGTGGAGCCGGAATGGGGGCATTCGCAGGTGAAGATGAAGAGAGCGTTGGTGAAGGAAACGTCAAAGAGGTCGGTGAGGCGGGGGAGGGTGGTAACGGGGGAAGATAACCGTACAACTGACTTTGCGAATTCAAGGGTGGCGAGTTAGGCGACTGTTGCACTGAAAGATATTGGGATTGACCTTGACCTTGCTGTGGTGGAGAGAAGATCGAGGACTGGATCGAAGAACTGGGCTGAAATTGAGTAGTCGGTGATGATGGGATTTGCGGTGTGGTAGAAGAAATGGAAGTTTCTGTCTGGGTGTTCGGAGCTTGTGGCGACTGATACAGATATTGATTTGCTCCAATAGGCGAACCAGACTGTAGAGGATGCATTGGGGGTGATCTCTGGTATTGTGAATTGGCCACTGGAGAATACGTATCGGGACCATTGGATAATGGTGACATAGGAGGAATCATACCCGGGGGAAGCGAAAGTGGTCTGAACCCTTCCGTATTAGTTATTGATATCGGTCTGAATTGGTCTCCGGGGGTATTTCCATTTGAGCTATGATTTTGGTGCTGGGCCATAATTGACTGCAGAGAAACATGTCCTTGCGCGCCCATATCCGATTTACGTCCTCCAGGGTTCATCGTTTCCTCCTTGCTGCGTTTTTCCCGTTGATAAATGAAGACTGAAAATGCCAAAACAGCGACACCCGCAACAGAAATCACAGCGATGATGGCAGGTGAGAGGGGACTGGATGAGGATGGGGAGGAACCGGATGGTGACGTTTTAGAAGCATCGGTGCAGACCAAAGCCGGATCTGTGCAATTCCTGGCACAAGCTAATCAAGCATAAGAGAAAAGAGAAGCGGTGAGGACACATTAGCATATCGATCATTGAATAAGTGACTTCAGGATGAATAACGGCGGGAAAAATGTGTGTACCGTTCTCCTTCACGTTGTATCCGCAGTATTCATCATTCTCATTTCCATTCACACAGTTTGCTGTTGGGGCATAAGTAGTGATGTTTTTTTGATGATTCACTATTTTCTCCAATGCAGATTGGTCACAACTGGGATTAGCTTTTATCGCTTGCGTGAAATCGTCGTAGTAGGTGTACACAGGATCGCGGCCTTTGGTAATATGTGTGATCAGCATAATTTGAAAGAAAGAAAATGTAAAAGAATGATATGCTCACATGCATCAAATGGTGAAAATATAGCAGTTGAATTGGTACATATCTGATGACCGTACATGACGAGGTAGTGGCAGTTGTTGGTGTTGTACCATCGTATGGGAGCCTAAGGATGTAAAAGTTGGCCACAGAATTGGATGTTTAGGATACCATGTTGATATCAACGGAGATTCCGAGACTACAATTGAAGTCAATCTTTACCTTGCTGAGATCGCATGATAAATCCCCAACTTCCGAGTTTAACACCTCGTATTTGTTGCCTAACACATACTTTGCCTAATCAGAAGACCACAATAGTGGAGAAGGATTTCATTCAGTCATATTTGCAAGGATAGAATCGCTGATCATATAGAAAAAACTCACATAAACCATATCAAAGTCAGCAGAATTTGTGGCGAAAACGCCGTTATTTGACCCAAATACTTTTGGCCAAAATTTTTCGAGGAAAAAGAACTGCAATACATGAGTCGTATTTACTGGGAACAGTCTTTTTCTGTTGGAGAAGCCTGAGTGGATGGAAAGAGAGAATCGAGCAATGCTTAGTTCCTTTTCTTGATTCGGTCTAAGCGTGTGAATAGGAACCAACCTTTGCAGTACTGGCTGGCGGAGAGTTCAAAGCAAGGGACAGAGATGTTGGAGGTGGCATTCTGCGCAAGAGCTGAGCGGACAAGACAGAGGACAAGGGTTAATATTAATGGTATTTTGACAAGAGTGTCCATCTTTGAGTGAGCGGGAGTGTCAGTCTGCGTCAATGCACTAGGAGGGAATGTATCCTGATTTCTGGATCTGTTACCGGGTGCCAGGGCGTCGGCGTGCGGTTGGCTAGCTGTGATATCACGGTATAGTTGTATGCCTAACGTATAGTTATCGCAGAAGACGAAGGGCCGAAGTGTGATATTCCAACGGCCCGGTTCCTCAGCAGAATAAAAAAGGGAATTCAGCCAGCGTTTCATCCCTGCCTGGACAATGAATCTGATGCCGCCGGTTGAACCATTGCTTAGAACAGTCAGCACACAGTCTGCGCGAACTATAGTACGTTTTAAATGATAATTGATCTCTAATCATGACTGAATTTAAATTCAACCCACCCTCCAAATATGCTACTATATTCTATCTGCATCTCAGACCTCATCAATGCAGAAACACATGGCTAGTTACGGTGGAGGAACTACGCAATACGTCAAAACTTCACCGCATCCAAATAAACAATATACCTATTCTTTGATGATCTTGTGACAATTGCCGGATAAACGGTGAATTTGTTACCTAACCTAACCAATTCAAGTGGTCCATCTTGCAATCCGATCAGTCCCAATTCGGTCAATATTTTCGAATGATCGAGTTGCTGTTATATATGTCGACAATACGATCCAACACAACCTAAATTACATATTTCAATTTTCCGAACGAAAGAAAGTAATCGCAACGTAAGGAAGAGATTACGAATCGGATAATAAACAAGCAAAAAATAAGAATTTAGAATAATACCTGCGGAATATTGCAAGAACAACACTTCGCCAATGAATTAGTCACGATTTGCGTAATGCGCATCATTCCGCACCGCATACCTTGAGCATTAATGCGCCAACTCCTTCCTGATCTCACCTTCATTAAAAATATACAAAAACCAGCACTGCACTATATATTTTCTGTATCATATCTGCTGTGATAATGTCCCGGTCTTTCACACTTCTGCTATTCTTGTCTTGGTTGTGCCACTTGTCTTTCGGCCAAAGTGCAATCCTTAATTGCATTAATGTACAAACCTCAAAGCATTGCAATGGTTTGCTTCTTTAGCTCTTCATCAAAATATCAATTTAGCTTTCCGCTCTTTTCATCCTCTGCTTTCTACCTATGTCATACTAAATATACACTACTTTCCTTAGCATTCATGTCATCTCCACACAGGGTTCCGATCAATATGGAACCACTGATACAAAACTGGTTTCAATTCCCACAAAATTGGACCACTTTCTTTGGGGAATCTGGATCGGCCATCATTGACAAAGATAACGACTTTGATTTAATTTTTGTACGTCGTCAGATGTCATGTTTTTTCTAGTTTTCCCCAACTGCCCGTTGCTTGCCCGCTGTTAGACTGACTTACTGTTTCGCAGGATCGATATATTCTAAAACATGAAGCAAAGAAGTATAAAGTAGATTATCCTAACGCTAACTGTGATCTATCACAGGTATATTATTTTGATTCGACTTTGAATACTGCAATGTCCATTTGAAAGAACCCTATAATTGCAATCGATTGAACATTATCTGACGACATCTCTAGGAGCCCATTCGATATTACAGATCTCACGCATGTGCTAATATATTCATGTTAGGGGAAAACTATTGTGCAAATAGCACTGGATTGAGTACTTTAGACGTCTGTAAGTGAGCACAGCCTTCCATCTGATCATTGTTTTTACTCACAAGTCAATTGTACCGGTACCTGACGCTAATACGGATACTTAGGTGCCAATACTTCTAAAACCCATTACCAAGATCTACGGCAAAGCATCGGTTTTAAACCGAATACTTGTAATCAAACGCTCCTCCCGATTTTGGAAGATCGCATCAAATCTGTTAACGCGCGAGATTCTAATTGTGTCAGCGGCGATGTCAATGAACCTGGCTTGTGTGGGTATGCCTCTAAAGAAATTGGTATAAATTTTATCCTTCTCCGTATGGATTTCTTGGAATCTTGTCATTAACGATATGCATAAGCTTGCGGCAAGAATTGTACTGCCCCCGGGCTTGACTGCGCTGAATTTTCAACCCGCCCTGGACCCACCGAAACCCAACAGTCGGATAATCCTGGTTTACACCCCGCTATCATTGCCGCTGTTGCTATCGGTATTGCCGGCTGTATTGCGTTTTCAATATTCATCTACAGGAGGGAACAAAGGAACAAAGAGGAAACAATGAATCCGTCGTACATAGCCGTCTTATCATTTTCACGACACATCACAAAGCATGACATACCGACATCAGCGCCGAGTAAATCACCCGATGTACACTCATTTGCTCTGGATTCTTCCACTCCATCAACCTATGAACATCGGCACGCCTATTTTAGCAATAATATTAATGATGTGCGACCTGTCTCATCGTTATTGGCATCCTCTCCTATTTCGTTACAAACAATCTTCGCACAATCTCAATTACACTCGCAGCGTT